CACGAATTATTCATCCTGTCTGGAAGCCATATTTGCTGGAGACAGACACACTACAGACCTTTAACCTGTATTTCAAACTAGTAATTCTGTTAGTCATGCCACGTCCTCAAGCCATGTGTTTTGAAGAGTAGTAGAGTCACATCAGGATGAACAGCTTTCTTCAGATGTAAAGCTGGAATGGAGAACGGTAATGGAAATCTAGCTACACCGTACTTCTATATAAAATTGAGTAGCCAAATTCTCTGGATAAAAAACATCCTTTTAACACCCCTGGAAATCTGAGCCCTGGTTTCTAGTCAGTGAAAGATGTTACCTTCCAGGTGATGTAGACAAGAAAATTGTGGCAGAAATACAGGAATTTTCACTACAGACTTGTATCTAGTGTATTGTATGCAAGCAAATTATAATAAAAGCCCCAAATGCATAATTGTCACCACATTACAAAAATACCTGCTCCACAATCAGCAGCATGCGTTTCAGTAGGGCTGCTCAATTCTGTCCATTTAAGTAAGCAGTAACACAGTCTACCTTTTAGAAATACAGTTGTTGCCCTGCAAGTACACCTTAAAATCCTATTAGATATGCAAATAGTCAGACAAGCTGCAAAAACCTGCAGCTTTTCCTAGGCTGAAGTAGATTCCCGTTGTGATTATTTCTGACCTGATTAAAGAAACACTCGCCCATTACTGCTATTCCTGTGCATTAAAACAACAGGAATTTTACTTGAAGTTAGGAATGCAATGAGCAACAAAATACTACCAGCCAGTTACTGTATTCACTAGTACATGACTAATACCATCTGTTATAATCAGGGGTGATTAAATACACTGAAAAGGAGATAAAGGTGGTGAAAGATCTAAAAAAAATTAAAATGGGGGCAGGCAAGAATGTAAGAGAGAAAGAGGAGGTAATAAATAACCAACAGAAGAGAGAAATAAACACTGTAAATTTGATAAGCACTTAATTATTTTGCATATCATCTGCAAGGAAATGAGAAGCTAGAATGCTTGCAAACATGCTTGCATCTGCAAGAATGAAGTTAGGCAATGCGTTTTCTATTTTTTCAGAGCATTCTAATTAGAAATAACTTGGAGCCATGAACATTTAGACAAACCATCAGCCAGCTTGAAATGCCAGTAACATGAAAAAAATGGCTTGCTTATATTAACAAAAGGTGAAACTAATATTTTAGTATTGGATATGTCCTCCACTAGCAGTTCCATAAGCTTCAGGAAGACAATCTCAACACTATTAGGTCCTCTGACACATTTATTCTCAGTCTTGCTTATAGCAAATAGTGCATCTATACTGTTCCAGCACTGTCTAATTTTTACTGCCATTGTGACCCCACTCTTGTTCATACGTTCTGAATGAAAGAAATGCAGCATTTCAGGATGTAACCAACATGTATAGGAAAAGGGTTATTCTCTTGTGACTGCTAGGAGGCCAAGCTTAAATCTCAAAACGACTTCTCTTAAAATTATTCAGCTACATATACCTAGCATGGTTGTCCCAACCTGACATAATGGTTGTAGTCTGGATGTTCTACTGCTAGATCTTTTCATATAAGATCAGTGCAAAGCTTCATGCTTCCTACTCATCCCTGGACCTATGTGGAGGTTCAGCTGATAGTCTTATCTACCAAAGCATTGGTTTAGCCACAGTAACCTAGACATACAATCTCCTGATCAGTTCAGAAGAGCATTAAGTAGCACTGACAATACAAAAGACTAATTCAACCCATCCACTTACCCACCAAACACTACAGAAGCTGTAGCAAGGCCAGAACAAGAGTGGGCAGCTTCCTGAACACAAACAAGAAGGCAGAAAGCAGCCTCTCACCCAGGCAGTTACAACAACAGATTTACTGAGGCCTGAGAAGGAAATCTAGTAAATCAGGTCATGGATTTTACCCACAATTGTGTCCAAATCTGCCCTCAAAACTAAGTTTCTAGTAACTTGGTGCATACCCTTCACAGGTTTGTCCCGTTTGTGAGAGGAACTGACGTTACTAAGAGGCTCATACTGCCGATGCATACCCAAACACATTTTAAGAATAACTGGGCTAAGCCCAAACTATCTGAAAATTAGGAGTGTGGAGGAGGAGAGTAGGAAGTCTGGAGGTCCAAGTTTCTCTCATGAAAAAAACCAACAAAACCTTCCTCCAAATTCTGTTAAATGCTATCCTCTGAAGT